GGGGTGGCTGCGGTGTCATTGACTTCAATGCACCGCCCTGAACGCAGTGAGCCGGCCGGCTTGAGTTTCAGAGGCCGAATGCTTGGTACGCAGACTTTGTGGTGTGAATCGGCCCTTACAGCATGCTTGTTCTGAGCTTGTGACTTACAAGTGTGGAAGCCAGCGTGACTATCGTCTTCAGGAAACGATAAGCAATGGCAGCTCCCCGTATTTTGAAAGCGAACCTGTGCTTTGCATATGCATGCCAAAGCAACAGGTTCAATCCAAAGAGACAATGTCGCTAGAAAAGTCACAGTGGCTGTGTAAAAGGCCCAGCTTGACCCACCTGTACTTGTCTCTCCAACGCTTCCTTGCCAATGGTGCAGCCACCAGCAAAATACCTGGTGTTGGAGCCTAGGCGGAACAGTGACTTGACCCCTCAGTCATGTGACAGTGCTCAGACTTGGCCATTGGCCAGAAGCCCTGAGCGCTGCATCAAAGGTGGAAGTCACATGGCCCCTATATTAATAGAATAGTACAAGCATTGTACTGTTGGCATCAAGCTGAAGTCAGAGCCCAAGTGATGTAATGCATTTTCTGGGTTTGATATTATGGATCATGTAATTACACCTGAACTTGCAGTGAACCGGTCAAAAACAAAGTTCATTCATATAACTTGCTTATGCCTTTGTGTTTTACAACTACCCAATAGTAATTAGTTTAGGGTGGATAACAAGGGTGCTGCCCATGCCAAATGTACTCTCTTGTACCTCTTCATCCACTAAATCAATGTGACCTCCAGTATCTCCCAATTATAATTATTGCTTACAATTGCTTGTGTTTGTTCCAGGTCGAAGCTGTCATCCAGAAGTACAAAGAGCAGCTTTTGGAGGAGAGATATCGTTTTAACATGGGCTTGTTGATGGGTAAGTTTCTGCTCCATGTCATGGCTGTGGTGCTGTAACATCCAGTGGCTGCATATATGAGCATTGTGAATGAAAACCGTAAATTTCATCCGCATAGTTAACAACTTTGTATAAAAACATTCCAGGGCGAAGGACAGGTTCTCCTGATAAGTCACCCCTATTCTTTCCTGCAGTCCCTTGCCACCCAATTCACCACAGAAACCTGGTGTAAGCTCTGTGTCAAAGCCTAAATTAGGTTAATTACCTTTTTCCCTTAAGTGACAGAGTTCAGGCCACCAAAGTGATTGGTGGCTTAGGACAAGGTCACATGCACGAAAACTTTCATTGAAATATGTACAGAGAGCAGAGCTGTGGGAAGGGCCCAGCAGGTTACCTGCAGTAAAGTATAGATCGGGGCGGAGACAAGACCCTGCACAAGGAGAGAGAGCAGCAGTGAGCGGTCTTTATTACAGGAGGGGGCGGAGACGAGACCAGCCACCATGCACAAGGAGAGAGAGCAGCAGTGACCGGTCTTTTTTACAAGAGGGGGGTAGAGACGAGACCAGTCACCCTGCACAAGGAGAGGGAGCAGCAGTGTGCAGTCTTTATTACAGGAGGGGGAGGAGACAAGACCAGTCACCCTGCACAAGGAGAGAGAGCGCAACAGTGACGGGTCTTTATTACAGGAAACTCCAAGCTTCACACTGGATTACTGCTCAGATCTAGGATAAATTCACAAACCACACCAAGAATCCACTAAGAATAAGCATGTGTCTTGTATTCATACAATATTTGTTTATCCCAGAGTTCAATGTTAACACTTTATTATAAATTTGTGTAGGAGAGAGAAGGGCAGTTCTTGTTAATAGCAACAGGATGCAGTTATTTGTGTATCCAGTACTTGCCTCTGTGGCCAACCAGAATGATTGTTCCTTCAGATACCAGTTTGCATGAAATCTAGGTTCCCCTGTGAACAGACCAAGTCACATAGGTCTTGGTTTAGCATTCAAAATGGCAGGCGGCACAGTGTTTGAGCGTTCAGCATGAATTCTGTTTTCCCACACTTATGCAGGGGAAGCGAGGAACAAACTGAAGTGGGCAGATGGAAAAATCATCAAGAACGAGGTGGACATGCAGGTAATTGATTTTATATTTGATATGATTTGCTTGCTCTAGGTTTATACTAACGCCTGCTGTTCATGAATCACCTTGTATGTAAGTTGTACCTAAAAACATGTCTTTCAAAGCATTCAATGTTAAAGTGGAACTGTATGGGCAAAATCAACTGATTCTTTCAGCAACAGTAACACCATTCATTACTGAAATTGCATAAAAATGAAAGTGTTCACCTTATGTTTCTTATAATAATACAAATAGCCTACGCACTTAAAGCAGACCTTTTACACTCAAAAATCAAATTCTTCCAATGCATAGACATGCATTGGTGTAAAATGCTGTGATTTTTGAAATGCTTACACTTGCAGAGCATTCACTTCCTGCTGTGAAAGTGCAAATGCCAAAGCAATGCACACTGGGGATTGCCTCATCAGCAGAGCGTTGCTGGGAAATCTCATCTGTAATCACACGAGATCTCAGGGAAAGGTATTTTCCTCCCCCTGATATGATGTGCATGGTCACATGTCTAGTCACATGTGCCAGAAATCCAGGAAGTAAAAGGAGAGCTGGTAATCTGCCCTTGGTAAACTTGCACCCTGTCCGAAGACTGGGGAAGAAAAGAGGAATGCAAAGAATACAAAGCCGGCAATTATCTAGAGTATGTGTGTAGATTGTCATTACTAAACATTTCTAAAGGTGTGTGATTGTTTGTTATTTTAAAGATATGGGTACAAGTCTGCTTCAAGTAGCTCCAGTAGGTATATTTGTTAATTCATCTACCATACCTGTAGGCCATGGGAAGGCAAACTTCGGCCCTCCAGCTATGGCGAAACTGCAAATCCCATCGTTCATCTGCCTCTGGGAGTCGTTACTGTGGATGTCATAGTCTTGTAATGGCTAGAGGGACAGAGTTTGCCGACCCCTGCTGTAGGCCATTTGTGCCCCCACTGAAGCCTGCCTGAAAAACCCCTAATATTTTTTTTCATAGCTCTGTCATGCTGCCAAGACTAACCAGGCCTTGGATGCTTGCCCCTAACATCACAGGAGTGAGCGCCGTTCTTGCTCAGAGCCCCAAGCATGCACATTGCACTCTCTCCTGTCCCTGCTGCTAAACTCGCCGACTGCAACAGGGGAGAGAGCGCACCGCTCGTGCTCAAAGCTCTGTACGAGGACAGCACTTTCTTTCGATTATAATCGATTATGTCGATTAGTTGTTGCAGCCCTAATATATATATATATATATATTAAAATATAGATATATAATTTCTTTTTTACAAAGGTTAACTGACCCTTTTAAAGGGTCATCTATTGTCTAGAAGGCTGAGCTCCCAGTGGTGTTTGTAAGCTGGCCCTTTTAGTAACTTGCAATATAATTCATAATCTTGAGAGTTTTATAGTCTTCAGAACAGAGTTTGCTTGTGCAGGGGACAGGTGCTCTTTAGGAGGAAATGAGCCCCTTGCGTGCCTCTGCCACTTGGAAACTCTGGATGGTTTGAGGTCATTTGCTAATTTTGGCAAAGGTACATTCCCTTCTGATTTCTCACCATCGCCTTTTGTCCTCTTTCTGCTGACCTTTGACTCTCTCCTCCATTTCGTCCCCGTAGGTTTTGCACTTGCTTGGCCCCAAGACAGAAGCCGATCTTGAGAAGAAACCCAAGGTATGTTGTTTACCAGCAGTGTTAACTGGTCATGTGTGTGTGTGACCCCTCTCGTGAAGGTCACGTTGATGCACGCTAATCTAGCAGAAGAACCAGTACGATCCTTGTACTTGCCTTCAGGGGAGACAGGCTGTCTGCTCTTTTTGGAGGAAAAGGAGTTTCTTGATGTCGCTGCCTCCTGATTTAGCTCCTTACCCACTAACGTTAACTATATCCTCGGGGGCAGGCTTTTAAAGCTCCACTCCAGGCAGCAGAAAAAAATTATGCTTGTAAGAAGTCTAGGGGTAGAGGAATAAGCTGTAATACGTGCGTACCTTATGCCTCGCTCTGGCAGCCAGTCCCCCAAAGCTGCTTCTCTTAGGGGCTCTGTCCAGGGGTTGCACTTTGATGTTATCAATGTACAATGCAGGACCAGCAGTACTCTATTGTACATGTGTACTGTAAGGACTCGCCCACAACCTGGAGCGTCGGAGAGAACAGGAAAGTGTCGGCTGCCAGGGCAGTGAGGAATAAGGCAAGTATTACAGCTTATTCTTCTACCCCTAGACTTGGCAAGCATTTAACCCTTGCAGTGTGTGTGGGGTGATTATTTTAAGTACTGGAGGTTACCTTTTAGGGGTAGAACTACTAAGTAAAAGGTAAAATCACAGTCCCTTTCTGAAGCCAAACTGCCACACAACCCACTTTTACCTCTTCAGTGCTCTCTCAACGCATCTCTCTCTGGGGCAAAATACTCTGTGCTGCCAAGTAAGGGGGGGGGGGGGGTTAACCCTTTCCCTCTCCCTCTCTTCATACACTTTAGGGCCCGTTCGCATTACTGCTAGCTTTACTACCACATGTACATTGCATTGAGTTGATTTGATACTGTACAGGTTATTCTCAATGGGAGTGTACCTTTCCAACGGACGTGCGTTGTGGGTCAACATGTGGCATGCACCATTTTTGTTGCTGTGCATTGTGCTGCCACCTATGCCTGCCCACAAGTTGCGTTAGGGCGCATTCAGAGTACACGGATTGGACCAACGTATGTAATGTGCCTTGTTGCACTTTACCCAAGCACCATAGAGTGAATATGTCTGTAAAATGTAGTTTTACCACATCCACCTCAAAGACCTGGCACCAAATGGTTGCCTTTTGGGGGCTTCCCGTGTGCACAGGAGTAGTTTTTGTAATCGATAAGCACACATATTCCGCCGTTCTTTAGGGGCGAGTTTAGCGTAAGATTGCTTAAATATCCTTTGGGTATCAAACCATTCTGTATTTTTATTGCACACTTAACATTGGCTAGTGATTTTAGGCAACAATAGGTAGTTAGTAATGGCATCTTAGTGGCATCTTGGTGGATGCTAGTATTTCAGTGAGAGCTGTAATGAAGCCTCAGGCTGACTCCAGGATGACAGCGCCACCTAGTGGTCATATAGTGCCACTGGTAAATTGCCATCTTTGAAATGGTGTATGTCTGTCCAAATTACTAAATATATTCAGTACATTTCTGCAATACATGCACACTTCCACATGTTTTGTAAGAATTCAATTGAGCTTCTAATATTTAGTTATTTTTTTAGCTGACAACACTGTGCCTTTGCTGCAGTGTAATTCCAGACAGTGTGGTCAGTCCTGCCTTAGGGCAACTTTGTAGACTCACGAACACCTTCCCATTTTGGTTATGGCGAGGTGGAGGTGTTTTGTAGTTCCAACAGGGAGAACTGGGCCGGTTCTGACAACACTGCTTGGAATTCACTGCATCAAAGGCACGCTACCCCGATACTCTACTTTTTATAAATTTTCCAATACTGTGGAATGTTGCGAAGATGGGGTTTTTTTGGTTTGTTTTTTTTATTGAAGAACTCCACAGACCCAAATATTTGCAGCCCCTTTGCTCCCATATTCAGCCTCCAGGAGTAAAAGCAAAGCCCTGTGTATGCAAACAGTCACCGGAGTCATAGTTCACATCACAAAGGGCTATGGTTGGTCCAGCATTGTCACATGCTCCCTCATACTCGGAAGCATCATGTATTTCTTTAATCTGTTGGCGGTGAAGTAGGGATGCACTGATCTCGGTATCGGTGCTGATACTGGGCATTTTCACAAGTTCTCGCAAAAAAATCCCCGATACTACCAGTAAATGCTGATACCGGCGATTACATTTTTAAACTGAAGTGGCTGTCTATGGTCCCGCGCTTGCTGGGCACTTCGGCAGCCTTCCTGTGAATCGCGGCGCCTGTTTACACCGCTGGGCCGCACATCTCCTTCCTGGGTAATCCCACAGCGCAGACTGATTGGTCCAGTATCTCTGCGCTCCCCCCGGCTACCTACATGACCTTTTCTGTAGCTGCCAAGGGAGCAGAGAAGCAGGCTGCTGACATCACATCCAAGATGGTAGCACCCAGCAGCAGTCTCGGGGCTTTTGGAGGTCTACACATGGGAGGCTTTTACAGGTACATAACATACATAAAATATGTTAGTAGAGAACTATGGCACAATCTTTTTTGGCTATAGTTCTTTATAGGGTCACAGGAGGACGTTCTAAACTCCGCATGTAGGGGGCTATTACACGCTAATTGCTGACAGTGCAGAGCTACGCTGCAGCTGGGAAAGATCCTGACAATATTGTCAGGACCACCCCACTGCCTGATTGACAGCTGTGCCCACCTCCTCTCCTGTCTGGTCCTCCCAGTCAGCACTGGAGGAACGTAGAGGAGGGGGGGAATCCCTGCAGGGAGCGGAGTTTATATGTCACCGCTCTCTGCAGGGAGAAGATTGTGAACTGAGCGATCAGCAGTTTGTGATTGCAGATTTCCCAATCAATAGAGCCGACGTGTGACAGCTTCAGGGCTTATTCCCACCATGTCCGGAACAGATCTTCATTTAGATCCGCCCAACGCGGTGCAGTTTTGACGCATTCTGTGTTTGTTTTTTTTAGTTTAAAATGGGCTTTCAGGTGCAGTCCAGTGCGTTTGCATGCATTGTAATGCATTTTCAATGCATTTCCAGGCGTGTTGGTGTGTTCCAGACCAGAAAAAAATAGTGCATGCAGCGTTCCCCCCCACCCTAATGGACTACACTGGTGTGAACAGAGCCCAGAAATACCATATGAATATATTGGGATGGATTTAAAGTGCAGGCACAAAAAAAAAATTTCTGGTCTGGACAAGGTTTGAACAAGCCCTCAGTCGCACGTCAGCTCTAACTATGAGGATGAGTATATTTCACTCTCTATAGTTCACCTTTAAATATATAATCTTATGGGAAGATTGTTGTTGACATGAATGGTCAGTGAACAAGGGCTCTTTAAGGGCCAGTTCACACCATCCTCAGTGCGTTCCGGCCCGATTGGGGCCGGAACACACTGGATCGCATTGCAGCCGGCTCACTTTGCGTTGGGGCGGAAGGGGGCGTGGCGGTGCATTGAACTCAATGGCACCGCAGCCACGCTCTCTAGCCGCAGTGCGATTGGCCACACGGGAGCGTGTGGCATATCAATGCCCTGGTTCCCGTCCGGTCAGAAAAATTGCTGCAAGCACTATTTTTTTCGCACCAGACAGGAACGCAGGCATTGATGTTCCCGTGGGGCTGATCGGCTGATCGCACTGTGGCCGGAGGGCGTGGCTCTGGTGCCATTGAGTTCAATGCACCGCCGCGCCCCCTCCCAACACGAAGTGAGCCGGCCACGATGCGATCCAGTGTGTTTCAGCCTCAATCAGGCCTGAACGCCTGATTTAGGATCGTGTAAAGTGGACCTAATGCTGCCATATGGCGTGGCCTTTTATTGAGCCCGTCCTGAAATGTTTGGTCGTTGCGGCACACCGTATTACAAAGAAGAAAACAAATTGTTGGTAAAAGATTATAAGATAATGGAACACACATCCTGGTGGTTCAGTCCTCCTGACAAACAGAATTTTCTGTCCTACATGAAGGACATCCTCTAGAACTGTCTTTCCTTCAAGGACAAAACACCTCATGGCTCAACAAAGGCCATTTTATGTGTTTGTTTTTAGGCCACAAAGCAGAAAGCGCCGGAAGCGGAGAAAAAAAACACTGAAGCTCTGAACGGTGAGTCACTTTTTTGTTTGTTTTTATTTTCCTTGACAATTTCTCTTTAACGTTTTCTGGATTCTCATTGCTTCAGATGAGACGCTTGCTGCGTCCCATTAGCGTGCTCCGGGCTCTGTCATCACATGCCTGGCATTCTTGTTCGGTCTCTGCCCTGAGACTCGTTGGTTACAACCTGCATAACGTGCTGCTCAAATATTTGCCTCCTTTGTAGTGAAGGAAGAAAACTTCGACTGTCCTCGTCTTTTATCAGTCGGCGGTGTTTGGCGGGAACGTTGCATTCAGGCTTGTAATTCGAGAGTGTGTCGGATGTTTTGTTTCACGGTTGACATGCGAGTGTGCGTATGAAGTCAAAGTAGTGATAGTCTTCCCACGCAGGTTAAGATGACCAGCGTGTTCTAATCCCTCCGTGTTTTTTTTGCATATATCCCCTGCAGCAAGCAGGAGATATAGGCAAAAGCAGTTTAAACTTACCCCTGTCTTCGCTGTGCGCTCCCGTCCTAGAATCCGAAACTGCTCGGGCAGCCGCAAATCACTCACGCAGCTGGGCGGATCTCGACATCGATGTCGGGATCCGCTGCAGCGTCTCGGTATACCAGAAAAACATTGACCCCATAGTTCTCTAAGTCAAGGGGTATTGTGAAGATGTTTACTTACCTGATTCCTGCTCCCCCAGTTGTCTGTGCTCACCTCTCCACCCTCTGCTCTAACTTGTGGACTGTCCCTTGGTGTCCTCACTTATAATGTAGGGCTTTGGGCCCTGCATTAGCCGTGATGATGTCAGCAGGCCTTTGACCGCCGAATTGAATAGGGGGAAAAGGCTGTGAGCGCCGGTCTTGGAGCCTGCAGGAATCAGGTAAGTAACACGGCTTCCCTAGACAAAAAAAAGAGCAGGTAACCCATGCAGTGCAGTGATAGCCCCACTGTTATAGTTAATTAGGGATTTTTTTTTTTTTTCTTGGAGCTAGGTTTTACAATATCGGTCCTCTGAAAACTTGGTGTAGAGTAGAACTGTATGGCAAACAAAAAATACTAGGGATGCACCGATACCGGTATTTTGGTACCGAGTACTGATAATTTTTTTTCGGTACTCGCCGATACCAATTACTGAGTAATGGAAGTCCCATTCAGGAAGCCAGGTGGCGTGTAATGACTCACCACCCGGCTTCCCGATTAAGAAGAAAGTCTGCCCCCTCTTACCTTGGTATGTCCAGCCAGAACCCGGCCTTCCTCCGGTACCCAGCCGGAGCCGTCTGGCCGGCCAATCAGGAAGCCGGGCGCCATGTAATGACGCAACGCTCTACTTTCTGATTGGCCGGGAGGCCAGCTCCATGCTCCCTCGTCATGAGATGAAGCCAGCGCGTTATTACACTCTGCCCGGCTTCCTGATTGGCCGGGAAGTCGGCTCCATGCGCTCTCATCACAAGTGACGAGAGAGCATGGAGCCGCTTTCTGATACAGGAAGTACTCGTGCTAGGCATTGGAGCATTTGGGCGAGTAAGAGTACTGGCCTAAATACACGGTATTGGCACCGATATCGCTACTGGTATCGGTGCATCCCTAAAAATTACCCATATAAACTGAGGATATATTCATAAGCATACGTTGCCTTCAATTATAAACACATGCCAGAATAATTAGATCAGCATAAAGTGATGCTAAACTCGGGTTACATCTTAAACATGCATTCAAGTACCTTAACTATTAACAACAATGAAGGGAATTTATCAAAACTAGAGCAGCTGTGCATGGCAACCAATCGGCTTCTCTTTTTCATTTTCAAATCTCAATTGAACAAACTGAAGGGAGAACCTGATTGGTTGAAACGCACAGCTGCTCCAGTTTTGATAAATTCCCCTCAATGCATCTTTGTGTATCACTCGGCTGTAGATCCTCAAATCATCTCTGCATTGGTGCCGACACTGTCCTTCCTTCTGGAGGGGGGCTACTTTGTTTCCCATGGTTCCTGTGTGTGTTGTAAAGTAGTCACCGCTCCAAGCTCACTCCCGTGATGGACTACAATCTCATGTTTTAGCTTACCAATTTGTAGTGAAAATGTAGTCCATAACAGGAGCGCGCTTGGAGCGGTGACTACTTTATAAGACACACAAGGACCATGGGGAAAAAAAGTAGCCCCCCCTCCAGAAGGAAGAACAGTGTCAGCACCAAGTCAGAGATGATTTGAGGATCTACAGCCGAGTGATACACAAATAAGATACATTTTTGGTAATGGTTAGCGTACTTGAATGCATTTTTATGATTGAATGCCTTTAGCTTAGTGTCACTTTAATTAGAAATGTGGACAATGTCAAAAATGATATACAATATACATGATGCAGTCTTAAGCTAGTCTGTTTTTCTTTGTATGGAGTCGGACCTCCATACAGCGGCATCTGAGGTCCCATAGAGTGTAATGTAAATTTGGATTGCAGAAAAATACTGCGTAAGAATGATTTTCATTTGTCCTGCCTGGCAGCAGGGCTTGGCAGCATTTATTAGGACTGCATAAACACGCAAGGTGATAAATATAGAACTTCATTTTACATTAAAATATGCATGAATACAAAACGCTCCTACTACGAACATCAGAGGGAAATTGACCGTTCTGTCCTCTTTAATACTTGCTTTAAGCAGCAGCTCAGAATTCCCAATAACAAACTCGACTTTTAGTTTCTGTATCTTGTGTGCTGTCTGCATACGTGTGAGTACATTTTGTTCCAGAAGAAATGTGCATTTTCTCTAAAACAGATGTGCACAAGCTGCATTCTTGGAGACCCTGTTGCTGAGAGTAAAGGGGGGTGGTGGACTGCTATAAAGGTTAGCTGTAGTCATCGAGGATCCTCCTCGGCCTTCCTGTAGCTGCTGAATCTCAAGCCCTTCTGACAGGCAATGCTTTGGCACATCTTGACTTTCTACTTCCTTAGCATTCCTGTTGGCCATTGAGGCCACCCATCATAGTAAGGGGCTAGTAGGAATGTGTGGACAGGGTTTAGAGGCAAGTTTTAAAGTGTCAGAGCATCAGAATGGGTTGGTATTGGCTGGGATGGGAATGCTTGGGACAGGTACGTACAGGCACCTCTAGGTGCTTGAACTTTATACCTGCAGCAGTTTTCCTTAGTGACAGGTTCTCTTAAATGTAAATCTGTTTGATTCATAATGTTTAAAATTATTATACACCACCTACACCTAACGTTCCCGTCCAACCTACAGCTGGAGCCCTGGGGTTTAAGAAAATAACATTTGGGTTTGGGCTGCATGTGTACACTCCCTCAAATTCAGTGCTTGTGCGAATCGCAAGCCCGAGGGCTCTCATAGGGGGTGTCTATTCCTCTACTATGTTGACTTTTTCAGAAACTCAGTATTTGCATATGATTGTAGGAGTCTTCAGTGGTGTATCGGGTTATAGGGGTATGTAAGGCAAGAAATAAAGATTAAGTTAGTGGGGTAGCCAGGCCCAGTATTTGAATACCACAAGTGAGAGGTCTCTTGTTTAGATTAAAAACAAATATTCATGACTGAAGCCTACCTTTTGTAGTAGATGTTTCTTTTAATGTGTGTGTTCTATAAATGTCCGAGCTTGATTTTTCTGGGGCATAAACTGGTTATTGAAATGTGAGATGAGAGCATGGCTGTCTGCAGTGACGCTCAGACAATGTACGCTGTGTCTGTGTGGTCACACTGCTCTACACACAACACTGCGCTCCGTTCAGTTCAAGGATTAAGTAACTGGAGAGACGGCGCAGAAAAATCCTTCGCCACCGCACCTCAGGCAACCTCGTCTGGAGACTAGGCGGCAAGTTTTAATCTGCAAAGTGTCTTCAGCCCGACGACCCAGACTGTAAACATGGCCGACCTCACACAGCTTTGCTGCCAAAGCCAGGTTGCTATGGAAATGGGTCAGGGGACGCTGGCCTGCTTTGACATTTTGAGCTTTTTCTAGAGCCCCGCTTCACCTTTTTCTAACACATTTTATTTAAAAATGAGCTCTTTTATGCATGTCGGCTGCAAGGAGATAACCGATTTTTGCTCATCAAGCATGCATTTGTTATCTATAGTCTTGAAGCTGTCCATTCTGCAGCTGTAAAAGTTGCTCATGGACTAACAGTACTGATTTTTATTGTAGGTACATGAGAGAGAACTCGCACTCATGGAGGTGATTCTTAATTTCTAAATCAGAAGTGACACTGATGTTCAAAAAGTTTGTGGACAAATATTTTCCCAGCTATATGAGCTTGTTGGACATGCCATTCTAAAACCATGGGCATTAATATGGCGTTGCCCTTCCCGGGCATTGCATATGGCGTTGCCCTTCCCGGGCATTGCATATGGGGTTGCCCTTCCCGGGCATTGCATATGGCGTTGCCCTTCCCGGGCATTGCATATGGGGTTGCCCTTCCCGGGCATTGCATATGGGGTTGCCCTTCCCGGGCATTGCATATGGGGTTGCCCTTCCCGGGCATTGCATATGGGGTTGCCCTTCCCGGGCATTGCATATGGGGTTGCCCTTCCCGGGCATTGCATATGGGGTTGCCCTTCCCGGGCATTGCATATGGGGTTGCCCTTCCCGGGCATTGCATATGGCGTTGCCCTTCCCGTGCATTGCATATGGCCTTGCCCTTCCCGGGCATTGCATATGGCCTTGCCCTTCCCGGGCATTGCATATGGCGTTGCTATTCTACTCTTCTGGGAAGGCTTTCCGCAAGATTTTAAAGTGTGTCTCTGGGGAATCGTGTGGTCGACCTGGTTCGACACTGGCATTCCATTTCATCCCATAGGTCACGGCTTTGTGCAGGACACTTGGGTTCCTCCATGCCATACTGGTCAAACCATATCTTTATGGTGTTGGCTTTGTCCATAGGTGCACAGTCATGCTGGAACAGAGAAGAACCTTCAAGTTATGGCCAAGGTTCGAAGTGATCAGTTGTCGAATGTCTTTGCTTGCTGTAGCTTTAACAGCACCCTGCACTGGAAACACCTGAACTCAACCATTTGGAAGAGTG